GTCGAGAAATCGAAGGCCTTATTTAGTGACCCTCGTCAACAAACGCCGTAAATAATATACTGCCTACATACATACGCATGAATCGTACGGCGCACTAGTAAATTTCACTGCACAATGAGTAGAAAGCAATTAAAAATACTAGTCGAGCAATTTTGTTAAATGTATTGCATTCCATAATACTTATTATGGCACTATGAAGAACTACATATGTAAATACGCTCCCTTAGTTTTTTATTGCTTTCTCAAACAATTTTTTGTGTTAAATTTTCTCTTATGATATATGAGTGCTAAGAGAATATAAAACGACACTTTCGTATCTACATTAATATGTATATATCTACACCTACGGCCAACTAATTAGCACCGAAATTCAAAATGATAGTGTTTGCAACTTATGTTCATTTATTTATTTTTAATAATTTTCATTTAAATTTTAATACATCTATAACAGAAACCACAAAAATAACAGTTTCAAAGGTGCACACATTTCAAAAAAAATAATAAAACTTAAAAAAATTGTCATGCAAATTTTTATTTAGAATATTTAAAAAATTTTGGGCTATTCAGTTTTGTAGCCAATTTAATTTTAGTGTAATAAAGTGGAAGTTTCAAGTCGCTAAAAATTACCGTTGATTTTTTTAGATTTTCTTTGTGGTACTTAGGTGTTGCGCATTTTCTTCCATATAACGCTTAATCAAAATCTATATCGCTAGCTTAAAGCATAAACAGATGGCAGTGTTGATCCGGATCAACTCGGGAATTAACTGAAGTTGATCCGGATTAAGTCCGAGTTAGTCCGGATCAACGCTGCCGTCTGCTTAAGCTTTTAGAGTGCTAAGCTCACTTTTTTTAATTTTACAGGCGAGGAAAAAAACTTCGTAAGTATAGGCATTTTCTTAAAGTATTTCGCAATTCTTTGAATACAAAAAGATATTAGATAGATATAAAATATTAAAACATTTCGCATTACATTTTGGTTTTGTCGAATTTTCGGCACCTGATTTTGACTTAGCAAATTTGCCTTTCATTGAATATAAACGAGAAAAATAAAACAAGTACCTCAATCCTTTTCGAAACGATGGATTTTTAATATCTCTTGCTTCCTATATCAAAATGTGAGTTTTCATGAGAAGTGGACTTAGCAACTTTTCACTATAAGCTAGCGATATTTGAAATTTGTGCAAGCTTTCAAACTTGTATTTATGTGGTTTCTTTTATAGATGGAATCACGGCATAAAAAAGAAGGTAGATTCACCTCAGCATTAACTTGACATTAGGGTAAGGCTTCCTCAAGTGGGCCCCGAATTTACCAAGATTAATATTTTTCAATGATATTCTGGCAGCGCCGAGTTTTGTATTCGAAAAGTACACTGTGTAAATTTTGTTGCAAAATTCCAAATAGTTTTTTTTTTAATCAACAATTGAAAATTTTTGCAGTGTTTTGGAAATTTTTATTTTTCTGTAAGTGTCCGAATGAAAAAATTTTTTTGGGTGCAGATTTAAAAAAACATTTAACTATACAAGGAAATTATTTGCGTTACAAAAATATTTTTTTTTTGCTTTTCAATATTTTTTTTTTTAATGAAAAATTGAACATATAAGCAGTTTCTGCGCCTCGTGGACAATTTCTAACAACTTCTGTAATATACATTTCTTCATTTATCAATGGAAAAAAATGCGTGCATATGGATATAGTTGGGTCTGAATGAATTTTTATTTGCCAGCGTGCCTGCTGCTACGCCGGTATAATAGTATGTACTCATGCGAGTCTCCTTCTTCACGTGTGTCATTCCAAAAAAAAAAAAAAACATTTGTATATCGACTGCTGAGTGGAAGATCCACCTATCTCGGCAGCCAGTTCGAAAACGCCCTATCTCGGAAAAACTTTTCAAAAACGTGCATATTTCAGAATTTGGTTGAAAAACGCTCTATTTCAGAATTCGTTTCAAAAACGCCCTATCTCAGCTGCCGATTCAAAAATGCCCTATATCAGCACATTTTCAATACATTTTGAAGCGAGATAGGGCACTTTCGAATCGAATTCTGAAATAAGGCGTTCTTCAACCAAATTTTGAGATAGAGTGTTTTTCAATAAAATTCTGAAAAACGGCGTTCTTGAGAATGTTTTTGAGATAGGTGTTTTCGAACTGGCTGCCGAGATAGGTCGATCTTCAGCTCAGTAGTCGATATACAAACTAATTTATTAAGAGTAACATCTTACTTCTTGTCATTTGGAACTGCTTTCCGATTTAGACGTTGGTAAGGGCCAGTTTTTCAGTGCGCGCTTAAATCTGTCCGTGGTTTAATTTAGTATAAATGCTATAGTCAATTGAATTTCTGAGATCCTGGCCCTTAGTCTTATCCTAATAAAAATGTCGTATTTTAAAAAATGCTAAGAGCAAATATGTATGTATGTGGAACTTTTGCCAGTTTGGCTTTATAATAGGGGATGGTCACCGTTATCCTGGAAGTTCGCCCTTGTATTGCAACAGCCTTTGAATGCGATTATAATTTGTTACTAATTTAATTTTTTTTTATGCAATTTTTTTTTGTAAATTTAGTTGGTAACACAATTATAAAGCAATAGCCAAAACAGGCATTTATGACAGATAGTTAATATGGCTGAAAAAAATTCTTGAATGAAACTACCTTCTTTTTTCTACCATGGATTGAATTATATTTTCAATGAAAGTTATTAAAAATAAATAAATTAACATTAATTGTAATCAATACCATTTTGAACTTCGGTGCTAATTAGTTGACCGTAGGTGTATATGGTTAAAATTTAATATCTATCAGAAGCCAATTTTTGAGGCGGTATGTTTATGTATGATAAGAGCTAAGTGTATATACAGCTACTTACTTACTTACTTCAACATTCAAATAGTAAATAAACCTTTATTTTAGAGCCAATTTGAATTTTATTTGTTATTAAATAGATATCTGGCCAGTAGAGGGGTTGACATGATCTAAGAGTATTCGTAGTGCCAGTATAAAGTAATGCGGATTTATGTACCTCAATTTAGACGATAAAGCAGGATTTACTTCTATAATTGATTTATTTTTTTCTAGGAAAAGGTATATTATTTATGATATCAATTATTCAAAGAGAATTGTTAAGTAACATACATAGGGTAGTATGAAGCGGGTAGAGGGCGAATTTCTCCCCACACGATTTAACACCGCTTAGGTTGGCGAAATATCTCAAAATCTGTTCATCCATGGGACTACATCTGCTTGGTACTCTTCTGCTCAGGGCTGGAAGCGAGTCAAACCGTGGGACAGAAACCTACACCTGCTGCGTGTGCCAGATACGACTACATCCTAACCTCCACCTCTGTGAGGTGCAATACCTGTAACGCGTGGTTGCACCTCCGAGCCTGCTTAGGCCTAAGGACTCACTGGCAATGTACACTTGCTGCTCAAACAGAGCTGCCTTTACGGCACATACGAGTCCGGCTGAGCTGCTGAACACGAACAGGAAAACGACCGCACCACAACACGAACACAACTGCACCACAACCCACAGGCCGCGCAGTGCCCTATTTTGGGAAATAAAAAAAAAATGGGGTTTAAAAAACTAAAAACTCGCTTTTATAATTTCCATTCGTACTGTCATCAGGAATGCAACTTGAGAATGGAAATAACTGCATCTTTTAGGCGCATCAATATTACATAGTTACATCCCAAGCTTATAAAAGTGAGGTAAAAAAGGACAAAATCAAGTATCTCGAGGATGATAGCAAAGTAAATGTTACGGTATTTTAAAGGTGAAGAATTCAGGAAATATATTATCTTTTATCAAAAAAATTACCTTAACCTTTAAAATTCTATCGATGGGAAATCAATTCCGACGGTGAATAATCCGAAAATCCTCGGCGTTGCCTTCGACAGTCTGCTCTCGTTCTCGGTGCATACAAACGCAATTGTCAGTAAAGTACAAAGCCGCAACAAGGTCCTCACGTCGCTAGCCGGCAGCACCTGGGACAAATACAGAGAAACATTGTTGGCAACGCACCAGGTAATTGGTCGGCCTGTTCTAAACTATGCAGCACCTTTGTGGTCGCCGGGGACTATTAAAACGCAGAGGATAAAGCTACAGACTTGCTAAACACATCACTCCGGACAGCGACCGGATGCCATCACCTGCACGACGAAGCTCAAATGATCCTGGTTAAGGAGCACAACGCTCTGCGTACAATTCTTAATATTTAGTATGTCACCGACGTGGGCGACGGAACAGACACTTGCTTGCACAGGAACCCACGCTACGGCACGTCAGAAGGCATCTATACGAACGGACGGACGAAGGCCAGAGATTCATAAAGCAACCTCTGGACACAGGCCATAAACGGCATTCAGTGTCGACCTAGTCGGTATGTATTTGGAACACAACCACTAGTCGTAGACAATACAGAGTTTCGCTTGCCTCGGAAGACACGGGCTACAATATCCCAACTTCGCTCTGGATACTGCAGCAGTTTAAACTCGTACCTGAGCAAATTAGATGCAGATGTGCCCAACGAGTGCCCGGTATGCGCAGAGACACTCCACGACTCAAAACTAACTAACTCGAGACAACTAACGCCTTTGTCAGTATGATAGACCCTATAGAAGCTGCACGATTCCTGGGTTTCCCCGTTAGCTGAGCTTGACAACGATTGAGGGACTAGCCGATCTGGACGGCTGTTGTAGCCGCTACAACAACCACAAAAAAGTTGAAAAGTATAAATTATAATGATTAGCTGGCATACGAGCGCACTGCTTATGGAATTCCTGAGTTCGCCGTCATATACATATGTAAGTACATACAACATTTTCTTTCGACTCTTGTAGTATTTTGTTGACAAAAGAGCGTCAAAAGAGTTTTTCAAAGAGCGTCAAGACAAACATGCTCCCTTGCCAAAATAAACGAATTTGTTGCGGTCGGTGTCTTTCGGCCTTGTCTGCCTCAAAACATTGGGTTCGCTGAGGGAATACCCTCAGTAGACGGTGTTTATTCGGAAAATGCAGTTGCGTTAGTAGCGGAACGGTACACATTTTTGTGTTTACTTATTAATATTAATATCTGTTCATTCTTTTTTTTTTGTTTCTGCTACATATTTACATGGTGCTACTGTGTTATGTACTCGTGCTATGCGCTCTTTGCCCAACCATCCGCGCACCATGCTGTCCAACAAAGTGGAACCGAGTGTTCAGAATGTAGACAGTTCACGCTTATCATGCGTGTGTTTGCGGGTTAGTTGGTAGCGGCATCGGACGACTATGTACATATGTATGTACGTATATATGAAGTGGGCTTAGCTCCCGAAGTTAGGCACGATGTACAGCGCTGCGCTGATTTGAGTTAACCCATCCCAACGATGACAAGAGTAGCGCGTTTACCTATGCTCACGGCTGTCAGCCAAGTTTAATTTGGTGATTTTGTTTTTTTAGCCGAGTAATTACTATAAATCCGGTTTATTTTCCGTTCATTGTGATAATTTCCACACACCATTATGTATAAAGTTAAGAAAAAAAAAATTAATTTTAAAAATAAATATTTGAGTATTCCATGCGACGTTGTCGTCCTACACTTCGGCACTTTTGTGTGCGCTGCGCACTTGAGCGAACGAGTTAATAAGTGCGCGACCCCCAGCTTGCTGCTGTGATCGTCCGTGTGTGTCGTGTGATCTTCCTCCCAAAAATAGTACAAAAAATATAAAGCACTTTTAGTAAATCGACGGACAGTCTGACTAACTGGCTGATAATGTGCGTTGCGTTGCGTTGTGTTGTGGGTTGCGGTATGCCGCGTTGACGTTCGTGTATTGACTTGGAGTACCGGGTTGTTTGTTGATTTTTGATAATTTTTTTTTCCGCATTTTATATCTACTAAATGTATATTTACAGTTCTCGCACGCCGGCAACTTTGGTTGTTCCATGCGACGTTAGCAGCAACGATTCAACGAATTATTGCCTCAGCGAAAGCCGCGACGGCAACATGTGATTGTGTAGTGAACAAAATGCATAAAAAAAAACAAATATATGCACTCGAATATCTAGCACTAAAGTTTACGCCTTGCAAAATTAACATTTTTTGCTCATGCACGCAAATTCATATAAAAGTATGTATAGTATGTACATATGTTCATATGGAAAAATATATATTTGGTGCGTTTGTATGTATAAAAGAATTTGCACGGGGCTTCGTACTTAAGCTCGGAACACTTTGACGACTGCAACTTCACGACGTAACGACAGCGACATCATTTTGTCGACAAATGTCGCCTTGAAGCCAGCTTCTTAAACATTTTGAAGACCTCAGCGACATAGCAAATAGCTGATTTTAAAGTTTTACATTTTGGTATATTTATTTCACAAATTGTGTATTTTTATTTAAGTAAATAAGAACAACATGANAAAATTAGAAATAGATTTAATTTGGCGACGTCGACAATTGCAGTCCTGCAGCCAAGATGTCGTGCTGTCGTCAAAATAATTGTGTCCGTAAGAACGTGTGTATTTAAAATTTGACAGATGCTGCTTGTCGCTTGCTGTCGTCAAAGTGTTCCGAGCTTTACTTGGTGAATGCAGATGCACTTAGACATATCTATACATACATAAATGTATAAAATATTCGTTGTGGCAATCTTTTGCATTTTCCGTTCCAGTTGCAGTCTTTTAAACTAAACCGCTTAAAGTGAAAGAATAAATTTGTGTTTTTGTTGCTTTTGATTTAAAACAAAAGGCAAATTGCGAAATTGAATTACAACAACGCTTAGAGGAGTATTTGCTGCGCTGGTATTTTTCAACGGATTTATAAACAATCATTATACGATAAAGTGACTACAAAATGAGGCGCAAAAAGTAAGTTGACAATACATATGTACATACAGTGGTCGAAATAATTACAGGCGCTCCTCATTAGACATGTTTTAAAATATTTTTTGTTACTACTTTTTTTTTTGTAAAAATATAGTTCATTCTTAAAAAAAAAACCGTGTAAATCCAAGTTTCAAACTTTGTGCAATATTTGAAAAAAAAAAAAATTCAATAAACTTTTGTAAAAATGTCTTATTTAATTAGATTTTTTTAGAATAAAGTGTGTGTATTCGTTATATGGAAGCAAATGGGATAAAGAAATTCGAAAAAATCAACCGTAATTTTTAGCCGTTTGGGCTACAAAGCCGCATACTAAAAATCTTTCTAGGGAATCTAATTAAAAAAGCTGGACATTTTTACGAAAGCTATTTACTTTGTTGCTAAATATTGCACAAAGTTTGAAAATTGGATTTACTCTGGTTTTGTTGAATGATTAACTGCATTTTTATAAAAAAATAACCAAAACTAAATAACAACAAAAAAAAACCATGTTAAAACATGTCAAAATATGGTGCGGATATAATTATTTCGACCACTGTATGTATACACATTCGGTGGCGAAAATATAAATAGGGACGCGACATTTTAATAGGTTTTGGCTATTTTTATTTTCTTCATAGAAAGTTTATTATTTTTTTATAAAAGTAAAAATAAAATTTTAAACTTTGTATAAGATTTATACAAAACCCACGAGTTTTTGCACAAATTTCCATAAAAAAATAAAACTAAGTTCTAGGTAAGTATGCAGTTTTGCAGCCCGTTCAATTTTAGTGCAACAAAGTGCATGTTTGTAGTGGCTACAAAATACCGTTGATTTTGGAAATTTTTTTTCGGACGGTGTTGTGCATTTTATCCATATAAAGTACTTCCCAGCCAGCAGAGACACGTAAATCTTGCCGACCGGACACGGTACGAAAACGACTCCAGTTTTCGTTCATTTTCGTATCCGAAAAACGTTAAAAATACAGGGGAGTTATCGTACCCGGTAACGTACAGGAAACGACTCCTATTTCCACTAACTTTCGTATCCAAAAAACGTTCGAAAAATATCATGTTATTTGAAAGCAATAATTTTATTTTATTTGTTCAATCTGAACATTTGAAAGTATGTATACTTAGACGGCATTGGCTGAGTACGCAGACGAGCGTGCTACTATTTGTTATTTTTCTGGAGATGTCAGGTTCGAATGCTGTCAGACGCAAAAAAAAATAATGGATTTTTTCCGAACTATGAAAAATAATTGTGAAGTGCAGAAGAAAAGCGTATTGAACGAAAAATTCACTCAGAGAAAGAGCCAAAATCGTTCCGTTTCACACCCGTTTTCGGCACTTTTCTCGGTAAACGGACAAAAGTCCGCATTTCATCTACTCTTTTTTTTCTGTTTCAAATCTATTTTCGGATTTTTCGCGGGCTGGGTTATGTTTGAAAATTTTTTATATGGAGAAAATGAGCAACACCTTAAAAAAACAAATTTAAAGAAAAAAAAATGCCAAAACTCAACGGTGAGTCTTAGGCGCTTAAAATTTGCACTTTACTGTACTAAAATTCAATGGGCTACAAAACTGCGTATTCATTCGAAGAAATCTAATTAAAGAGCTCGAAATTTTGTATACTGTTCGAAATTCGGACTTATACGGTTTTTGTAAGATAACGAGCTATACTTTCCGAGTATTTCTAAAATGTCGCGTCCCTAATTATATTTTCGTCACTCTATGTATTCATTTGCGTAGATACATGAACTAAATATATAAAATAAAAATGGGGCAAAGGTTCTTTACACACTTACACGCATACCTACATACTATGTATAACTTGTACCCAAATGCATGCAAAGTAACTACCTATATAATTTTTATGGGCTGTAAAAGTCAAAGATTTTTTGAAATTTGTGTACTCCTACGTGTTATGTTTAAACGTGAGTCCGTTTCAGTACAGTAGCGATCAAAACATATCGTTGATGCCTATGTAAAACAGCTCATCGACCAGTTGCCAAACCGCCTAAATCGCTGTTGTGGCAAAAATGAGATTTGGTAACCCTGAACTTCAGGCATTGAGATTTATGCATAAAAATCGGTAAATCGTTAATTAAACAACAGATTTAAAATACCGCCTATCAAGTCAATGCCTTTGAAGAAAAACAGTTTTTCGCGCTCCTTTAAAATTTGAGTGCCGTTAAATAGGCGCTTTTGCAAAGGCATCGCCGATATGGAATTTCTGGGTAATTGATGAAATCAAGTTTTTCTAAACGTCTGGATTGTATTTAGAAAAGTAATTTCTCAGTTTTTCCACGATAGCGATTTTAAGTGTTTTTTCTGGTGGTCTTGAGGTTCAAGGAATGTGAACTTGCTCTTCATATTTACCAAAAACGGCCGCTAGGTTGGGCTTTGATACAAAAAACATCGAAGGAGCATGAAGAAAAAGTGCCAGCAATGTTTCTTGTGTTCAGATTCTTCGTACCAGAAATCCTACAGAACAATTTTTTTTATTGTTTTGAATGCTAGTCCGCGACCACTAACTTCAATTGAAAAAATACGCTTAAAATCGCCTACTTGGGAAAACTCGGAACTAAATTTTCTATAAAATTCAAACTTTCAGAAAAACTTGGTTTCTTATCAATGGCTTATGTGAAAAATACTGGTTCTACAGTCGGCCATTGCACTTTGGAATTTTCAAAAACATATCTACATTTTTACCATTCAATCTGGAACAAAGCGTGGTCAAAACATATGCAACCTCCGGTTTTTTTCGAAACTGACTGAAATAACTTATGCTGTATTTTTGCTTGTCATTAAATGAAAAAATTTTTAATGACAGTAATGGGGCATATTCATAGTCGAAATAAAGTCGACTCTACAGCAGAGTTGTGAAAAATGCATTAATTTTTTAATGCATAGCATTTTAATGTAAATGAAAAAAAAAATGAATGCATTAATTTTTGAAATTTAATGTAAATGAAAATTTCAATGCATTAATTCCGCAGAAATAATGCTAATGATTTTTTTTTGTATTAACATTAAAATATTTAAATGAATGCTATTGCAATAATTTATTGTATTAAAATTATAACAATCATTAAAAAACCGTTAACTAATTTTATTTTGAAGTAAAAATTCTTTGCTAACGTTAAGGGGAGGAATTTTAAGGTCAACAAAGATAGTGACGGTCGTTGACGCTGGTTTTCACTATGTCAAGTTCAATTTATTTCATTTGTCAAATGTCAAAATGGACTAAAAATTGATTTTATTGATTGATTTAGATCAGAGTAGGTCTTCAGTCGTGTACATGTGCTGCTAAATTGGCTATCTGTCCGTTTTTGGCCCATAATATATGTAATCGGTATGCATCAACAATCAACATAAAAATCTACAAAAGCTCACTGAGTTGCATGCACATTGCTTTTATTTTCATAAAACATCTAACAATGTTTAGATGAATTTTTCTAAAAATACACATAATATAATGAAGCTGCAAAAACTATTAATAAGTAATTATTCTTTATTATAATAACCTTTAATTTCGTTCAGACATTTATTTTAATAATTTTTTGCAACTTTTTGAAAAGGACTTAGGCCGGGACATGAAAACTTTAGTATGCCATAAAATAAAAATATGAGCTAACTTTTCAAATCCATCGACTATTTTATTACTGTATACTTTCAGAAAACAGTAGCAAAGTCAGGGCTGGTTTCGGCTATCGCACAGTGTTACTTGTTCTTAATTGATTAATTTATGTACCCTATATTCATTAATTAGTTAAGTAAAATCGCCCCAGGAGTGCAATAAGCTAAATGATATACCTCTATGTTACCAATCCACTATTAACTTCATTAAATAATTAATAGCTTGGCTTCCTTCAAGTCAAGGAGGTTGCAGAATATTGAAAAATATTACTGGAGGACAATTTTGGTCAATTTAGTTCGTTAAAAGCTAGTTAAGCATTAAGTTTGCGTAACTTTTAAATGAAGTCAGTTTCCCCCTTTCAGGCGCAATCTTAACCCTTTCAGTACCGTGTTGTACCAGCATTTAAGAATAAAAAAAATGTTGAGCCAAGTGTGAGGAGCTTTTATGTTGTGGGAGAAACGACTTCTGTCAATTGTGTGTGTGAATCATAAAACGCGATTTTTTTCTTGTTTTTCACTTTGGTTAGCCACTTTAGCAAGGCGAATTTTTATAAGATGGCAGCGGCAACCCAAAAACTAAAACTACACAAACAAATTATACGAACATTGGAAATCAGTACAAACACATCAAATTCGCCTTGAAATCAGCAGGTCCGGTAAGAGCACCTTATATGAATTCGCCTTAAACTTTAGGTTGAAATCTGTCACCTTTCGACTAAAGCTTCGACAGCTTTATTGTCTGCACTAAATTTAACGATTATATATATATCATAGCTTTTAGATATTATTATTCTTTTGCTTAAATGATTTAACAGCTTAAGTCGTTTTGATTGAATTTTAAATTTTTTTCGGTGCATGGCGTTCTTTCAGCAAAGCGAGTACTCAAATTTCTGATGAAATTTTGGGTAATGTAAATGTAATGCATATTTAGTTTTGACAGTTAGACAGGTATATGTTCACGTTTAAAAATAAATGCATGTACTACATACATATTTACGCACATATCTATGAATATGTAGATAGTTCANTGTGTACTACATACATATTTACGCACATATCTATGAATATGTAGATAGTTCAGTTATACATGCATACATTTATACACACTTGTACACTTCGATACATATTCACCTCAAAACGTGCCATAACTTTTTTATGTCAATCAAAATTGTCAATTAATTCATTTATAAGCAATTTTGAGGTATAATTATAGGCGTGACGCCCATGTTTGTAAATGAAAGCACATAGCTAAATAGAGATACGCTTTGATTTTCTATGCTTATCATGAATAATTTACGAGAGTAATCGTTGTGCGATAAGATAGCCGCTGAAGGGAGGAATAACTGTAAAAATTCATATAATTTTCGTCATATGCAAATTCGCAATGATTTATGTACATTAACTTGTAGGTATGTACATAAGGTTGGTCCAAAAATTTTTCCAGAACGTTTCTAAAAATTATTTTAAGTAAAAGGTAATCTTAAAAGAAACATTCTCTCAGTAAAATGATTAAAATTATTGAAATCATCAGCTATTTGAGTTTAAATACAATAACATCTGGGAATCGGCGGACTGCAGATAGCGTTGCTCATGTGGAAATACAGGACTAGGTTAATATTAGCCAGCTTTGACAAAGCTCAAAGGCTTTGGCCTTTTTTTATTGTAATAGTGAAAGCTTATCTTGAAGGAAACTGTAAAAATCAACAGCTTTAGCGTAAACCTCAATTAAATATAATTTAGCATTAATGTTATTTTACTGAGCAAGATATTTATTTTAGTTATAATGAGACGCAGCTCGCCGGATATTCGGTATGAGGTATCGGGCCAAATCACTATTCGTTACATCTTTAGTTCGTAAACACATCACGCACGTTTTTAAAAAATATTCAAAATATAAGTGGCAAAATTTTATAGTTAATTCTAATAATTCTATTGTTGGAAGATTTCTGAGGGGAAATATTTATAATCGATTAAAAAATATGTATTTTTTTAACGATTTTATAGCAATTCTACTAAAAAGCCCGATTTTTTGCATTTTTGCTTGGTTTATGATTTTTTTTTAGTGCAAAGTGCAAAGATAGCAGCTATTTTGAAGAAAATCGATTTTCCTGCTCCCGTTTATGAATGTTACATAATAAAAATAAAAAAAATAAAGAATTATGGCGATCCCCCAAAACGGAAAAGAAGTGCACAGGAAAAATTTGAAATATTATACAAAATTTTCACCTACTATTTTATATTTTATTTCTAGAAAATAAAATTTTAGTACAATATAGAGCAAGTTTTAAGTGGCTAAGAATATTTTTTTTTTTGCTGACAGTGCTAGGCATTTTCTTCCACATACATAAGTACGCAAAGTGTACTCGATATGTCCGCAAAAATTGAACAAAATCAATGCGATTTCTTAACCACTTGATTCTTGCTACCTGAAAATTTTTTAGAGATTCCAAGAAAAAAAAAGATTTTTTAATTTTGATGAAATTGTTTTTATATCAATTCTAATTTTCCAGTCTGGCACCACAGTGCAACAACAAGAAAATTCCAAAAAGTAGATTTTCCTGTTTTGGACCACCCTTATGCACTTATGATACCACTCTTTGGTATGGTGAACATATTGTGAAATTTACAGAGTTGCAAACAAAAATACACAATTTTACAAACTAAATATGCAAAAATCATTTAATAATTTTTATAAATAAAGTATGTACACTTTTTATGGGATGTTGCTTTGAGCACAATTTGACTTTTGTGCGAATGGGGGTGTGTATTTTAGATAGTAATATATCAATCGTAATATGCCCTTCATCCTGCTCATAAGCTAAGTGACAGCCGATAGAGGAGGGACAGTAGAGTAGGGTGGTCGAATTTTAAATTTTTATATATATTTTCTATTGAGACTTTTAAAATATGCAAACTAATTGTATTCATATTTTTCAGAGTTGAATTCCGCATCAAGGCCTCGCCGAATAAAGGTGTGAACAACTATCGTCCCATCGAGCAGGACGAGGAACTACTTTCGCCAAATGCCGACGATTTAGCGTCACGTTTTGAAGACTACGGTACCACACCGCCACGTACTAGAATGAAGATTAAAAGTCGCGATTGGGAGCGCAAAAAGGCACATGCTGTCGCCTCTGTTGGATCGTAAGTACACTTTTATGTGCATTCAATAAAAAATACTTTGTGAACTTTTCTATATGAATAGATCAATAGATCCCATGCCGAGCACACCCAAGAAAGGCATGACACGTATGGCACGTTCCCGTGTACTTCGACGTAACACAATGGATTGTGCTCTGCTTAATGAAATGTTCGTCAACGAAGAGAACAAGCGCACCAGCAAACGTGCACAAGATCTGTTGCGTGATGCAGAACGTGAACTTAAGAATGCCATGATTTCAACAACAGCAGGCAGTTATAATTCGCGTGGTTCAAGTTTATTGGATAATTCATATCATCAGGAATCATTGGATAAATGTACGCCGCTTAATTCGGAGGTGTGCTTGCGCGGCTCCTCAAAGGTGGTGGAATCGTGTAATAGATATATGTGCGTATCCTCGCGACCTATAGGCTGTCGTGCATCGGCTCCAGCATCGGCATTTGTACAACAGTTGCGTAGTGAACGCACACCAGGTTTGAATATACGCAAAGAGTTTCATGAGACTTTCGCAAATCTTATCAAATTAGGCAGCGTCGATCGACAGGATGCTAAGGTAATGGAATAATACATTTTGTATTTTTTTAATTTTTATTTTACTGGTAAAGTCTACGTTTTCTGAGCGAAAAACCGAATTAAAGTAAAATTATCACCATTAAGGTATTTCTGCGAATGCATCAAAAAATCCCACCCAAGCTATCCTAATTTTTCTTGACAAGAAATTTTGCTTTTGGAATATATTGCCGGTTAAAGGCCCTGTAGCAAAAGCCTCTAATATAGCGAAGTGTTGACTCAAAAGCCTCTACATAGCGAATTTTGAATATGTTGACGGGAACGAAACTATACATATTACAAATTTTTAAAAATTTTTTGAAAGTTTCTTTATTGGATATTGACTTACCCTGCAGAAAATCTCACTAGCTCAGAATTAGACCTTTTGGCGACAGTACTAGTTCTAGCTCAATACCCACGCAATGCTTTCAACTGTCCAGTTTTACACGGCGATGTCATTGGCGGTGCCCAATTGTCGCCCAGTGCATTACTTTGCAACAAGTTTTTACCGGTGACGTTTTTGAATTTTTTTTTATAAGAAAACGTTTTTAAGATTTTTAAGATTTTTTTATGCGTCTTTTTTCGCCGTCAACTTTTGAGCTCGCGCCTTTATTCGTGTCTAGTGACGATATGTATTTGAAGTTTTATGGCCGTAGGATAACGATAACCCATGCCGACTTTTAGTTGAAGTTTTAGTTAACAGCTTGCTTGAATTGCTCTCACACTTAAACGCATTTCTAGTAAAGCTGTATCTTAAAATCTTTAATAGGACGGCACGATTTCTCCCATGGACATCGAAGAAATTAATTAAAGGCAAATATCCTTTGCAATTTTTATCCTTCAATATCCATATAAATATTTATGGCATTTAAATTAAATAAGGATTCTTGAAAATGCATTCAAAAGTAAAAATCTTGCAGGATAATATTTTTAAAGACCATTTTTGATTTTTTCTTTTAGTTGAAACGCATATATCTATATTTTGTGGAAACTTTTGGAAATATATTATAATTTATGGTCATTTGGAAAAAATTCTGACTTTATATTAAAGTAAAATGAGTAAGTTAACAAAACACGCGAACTAAACAATGGTTATTCTAATAACTTTTACTGCAACTCGGCAAGGGCTGCCGTGGCCCGAATTGCATAAGATTTTATTCGGATAGCTTTTAAGACAAAACCAATAAAATGAGGGGATATGCGTTGAAAACATCTTTGGTTTTTTGGGACAGTCTACTGTACATACAAATACATACATACGCATCTTCCTTTGAAATTTCCTCATATCACTGATATCTACCTATGTCCCACTCTCAGCTTTCACATGAAGAGCACACCTGGCAAGCAGAATTGAAAGATCTCATTTGGCTGGAGTTACAAGCATGGCAGGCTGACCGTACCATGGAACAGCAGGACAAATATTTATTCACCGCCCGACAGGCAGTGCCTGAATTGCTCTCACAAATTATAAATTACAAATTTCAACCGCGCTATCAACGTGCCATGAGTGAATTGAGCATTGATAGTGGCATCAGTACGGATAGCAATGCAAGTTGTAAGTTATATATGTTGTTGCTTTCACGTTATGTGCGAAAAATAATTTATTTGATTTTTATTGTTTTACAGCACCACAGCCTGGAAAATTATGCACTGGCTGTATGTCTTTATACTGCAAAGACTGCATGGAGCAGCGGGAGATTGCCATGAAAGAAGTGGAAGAACTACTGACACGTTTGGAATCCGCAGAAGCGCTGTATCCCTCCTCCCAAGTCATGGGGGCATTTCATCCCATATACAAAAATGAAAACTTTGTAGGCCGTATTAAAGCTATGTGTTTGTGGTATAATATAACACGTCAGAATCGTTTAAAGCTGTGTATCTTTGGCAAAATATTGGCGCGGTAATACGAATAAAATTGTGTCTTAATTTTTTGGCGAATGCTCTAAAATTTTGTACTATTCAGGTTGCAAAGTGAAAAGTTTTCTTGGCCTGTACAGACATCCTATGTAGGCACTGATAGCGACACATCGTCTGGCGTTGACAACGATGATTCTGGCGTTAATTCGGTTGATTCAACCAAAACCAGTTCTAGTCAAGCTACGCCTCAACGCAAGCTTTCATCATTTTTCTCTACGCCGAAGGTACAGTTCATGTTGAACGATGTGGCGCAAGTACCTGGTGAAACTTCAAGTAGCAACGAGTAGGTTACCTTCTTAAAATGATACTTAAAGTTTTTTGTTTATACATTTGCTGATTAACAATTTGTAGATCTACCTCAACCGAAGTTAGTCACCTATCGTTGGAGGCATCTGGTTCGCATTTACGTAAAAATTCCATGCAGGACATAAATATATTTAGTGTTGAACCTTTAACAAGCTGTAATGATGCTAATTCATCAGCGCTATACAGGTGCGCCTACAGCCTAATAACTCAATAGTAAATATAAAAATTAGATAATTTCTATATTTTCGTTGCTTTTAGGAAGTTCATCGAAAATGTATTAAAATCTCGTGGTTTAGCGAAAGCTTTGTCGTTTTTAAATAAACTACACAATGTCGTGCTCTTCAAAGCACACATTTCGCTGGAGAAGCCCGGCACAGAAGACTATGACTTCGAAACTGAGCGCATTGATGAACACGTGCCTCATTTGGAGCCCAAAATTGGCCGCGAACAAATTGATGAATTGCGGCGCTTTGGTTATTGGAGCGACGAGGCCAAGTCCATAAACTTGCCTTCATACATTCCCTCTTTCGTGTTTCTCAGCGGCATACCTTTGCAATTTATGCACGAGTTTTTACGTATGCGTCTAGAAACACGCCCCTCGAAACCAAATCCGCTAAGCTTAGAGCAGCTCATGAAGGAGTTACGCGAAGGACTGACATTGGCGCTGACACATCGCGAACGCTATCAGCGGCACATAACGACAGCGCTGGTGGAGAATGAGGAAGAATTGGAGCGATACATGGGAATATTGAATCATTTTGATAAAACAGTGCGAAAAGTATTTGAGGTATTTTTATTTATGAAATTTTTGCTATCTTTTTGACTGAAATTTTCGTAATGTTTTCATATTTTAGCTATATTTAGATTACATCGATCAATTGGTGCTGCAATCATCGCCAGAGTGTAACCAGAAATCTGCGTTGGAAAAGGAATGGATGTTTACCAAACTCATTAGTCCCATGATAAATGGCATGCATACAATTGCGGCCAAGAAGTTTTGCACCATAATACGCAATTTGTTGCGCAGCATATCTGACCGTTTGGTGAGTCGTGCCGCCGAATTAGATATACAAATCGATGACACAGCACAGCATGGCGAAAGTGATTTGAAGTGGCAACTCTTAACGATCTGTAGAGAGATGCAATCGCTTTTCACTGTGGAACGCGAATGTTCGGTGAAGGTGCTCTTCTTTGCAAAGATGTTTTGTCGCGATGTCGAAACGACTGACTTTCATCGAGAGCATTACGAGGATGATGTGATCAATCAGCAGCAAGATTTTGTCTGTGCGGAAGTCAAGAAATCTTTTAAGTTGCTGCAAAAAGATGTGCTCGATGTGCGCAACAAGCTTTCCAAAATAATCGAGCGTGTGCAGGAGCGATGTGGTCCGGAAAATATGTCCGACTTAGACGATCAAGATAGGCAAGCGGTACTTTCGCGCACACGTGAGATTTTGCATCAAGGCTATAAATTTGGGTTTGAGTATAATAAAGACGTAATTCGGCTCTTCGAGCAACGAATAATGGCAAACAAAGATGAGTCATGTGAGGTCGACTTGTCCTTAGGTATTATAGATTTTGCGAAAATGTGGATGCGTTTCGTGATGGAGCGTTGCGAGCGTGGTCGTGGTATGCGTCCACGGTGGGCGTCACAAGGCTTAGAATTTCTAATTCTCGCTTGTGACCCGCAGATAACGCGTCATCTGGATGAATGTCAATTCGAGGAACTGAAGAAACAAATGGACTGCTGCATATCTCATGTGATTGGCATAACATCTGAACCGGAAAAGGTTGCGCGCAAAAAAGCTTCACCAAGAACGCGAAAAACATCATCGCCGGCCACAAGCCGATCTCGGACGCCCACACGTACCCCCATATCTGTAGGCGCCGGCACCAGCCCGAATACGCCATTGAGCTCACCGCAGTACAATAAATTCTTACATCCGCAGTTTAGTTTAAAGGAGGAAGTGTTGCGAAACGCTGCTGATGGCACGCCAGAATATACGGTTGCAGACAGTCAGGATTTCCCGGACAGCGGAAACAACGCTACTGAGAAGCAAGGTGATCTACGGCTAATTGTGCCACAATCTTCGCCTATGTCAAAATCACCCAATGGCGGCAGTAGCTCTTCGTTAGCACCACGGCAAGTACGTGTGCGGGACGCTGTGAATCATTTGGACATGGAAATTGAAGAACATTTACGCGAACGCAACTTAATAGGCCAGGTCAAGGAACTGAATACCTGCGATAAGGTACAGATACGTGCACGCAGTGTTAATTTCCATTGGCATCGCGGTATTAAGGTAAGTGGTAATGAAATTAATGATTAGATGATTAGTCTATCAAAACGTCGTACATCAATTTCAGATTGGCCAAGGTCGTTTTGGAAAAGTTTATACCGCTGTCAATAATAATACTGGTGAGTTGATGGCTATGAAAGAAATTGCAATACAGCCCGGTGAGACACGTGCACTCAAAAATGTCGCTGAAGAATTGAAGATTTTGGAGGGTATTAAGCATAAGAATTTGGTTCGCTACTATGGTATTGAAGTACATAGGGTAAGTGGGTAATATCTTACAATAGGCTCTTTCCCGTACAACCCGGACCGGATCCGGTAATAAGAGAATAAGCGAACACTTTGCTCTCAAAAATGTAACAATGTCCATAAGTACGGGATCGCAAAAAATCACATTTCGTGACCATAATTTGAGAAATAGCTGATTCAAGTGGTTTTTGTTATGGACACTTAAATGCAAATACTTGGAAATTGAATTTTGGTTTCACAAATTAGATTGTATTAATAAAAAAGTATATAAAGATTAAAAATACATGTAAACACAAATAAGCCGGAGAAAAAGTTCGGGTTTTTTCTAATATATACCTTTGGCAGAATTTTTATGCTAGTCTAAGCTTATATCTATACTGAAATCGGCCGATGGCGCTATTTGAGAGTTAAGTTTAGTTTTGATTTACCCCTTCATTCACCTTCTACATAATCGTTACAGGAAGAACTTCTTATATTTATGGAACTCTGCTCGGAGGGTACTTTAGAAGCATTAGTGGAATTATCGGGTGGTCTGCCGGAAGGCTTATCGCGGCGCTTCACTGTGCAACTACTATCAGGTGTTGCTGAACTACATCGGCACGGCATTGTGCATCGGGATATAAAGACTGCAAATATATTTTTGGTGGATGGAAGTAATAGCCTAAAGCTAGGAGATTTTGGTTCAGCGGTTAAAATACAGGCGCATACAACTGTGCCAGGTGAACTTCAAGGTTATGTGGGTACACAAGGTATGTAAAGAAATTATTAAAAACTTTCTACTTGATAGTGGGAGTATTTTAACAATTATGTTCCTTATTGTAATCTATAGCCTACATGGCGCCGGAGATATTCACTAAAACCAATAGTGATGGTCATGGCCGTGCTGCGGACATATGGTCTGTGGGTTGTGTGGTGGTTGAAATGGCATCGGGACAAGTAAGCTAATTTCATTTAAGTGATTATGTTTAACTAATACTTTTGCTAATTTTAGCGCCCGTGGGCACAATTCGACTCGAATTTCCAAATCATGTTTAAAGTGGGAATGGGTGAGAAGCCTGAAGCGCCGGAAAGTCTTTCACAAGAGGGACATGATTTCATAGACAAATGTTTACAGCACGATCCAAAAGATCGTCAGACAGCCCTGGAGTTGCTGGAACACAACTTTTGCAAGGTATTTTTAAATAATTACACAGGTTTACAAAAAAAAAAGTTTGCATATTGAACCAAACCTCTATATCCCTATGTTATTCATTCCCACGACAGCCGGTTATACGTACCGGAATGACTCGGGTTTCACCCGACCAAGGGCTGTTGTTTCGGCGATCTAACCCCGCTTAGGTCGGCGAAGTATCTCAGAAGTTGTCCGTCCATAGGGCAACATTCACTACGCATTCTCCTACTCAGGGCTGGCATCGAGTCAAACCCTAGGCCAGAAATATACACCTGCTGTGTATGCCGAAGACGATTACACCACAACTCCACCTCAGTCAAGTGTAATGCCTGCGAGGGGTGGAGTCACCTCAGGGTCTGCTCGGGACTACGGACACACAGACAGTGGACCACGTCTTACGTGGCCCCCTGTTGCTCAAACAGAGCAGCCTCCACGGCAAACGATAGTCCGCCCGTGCAGCCCCACACACTCACACAGCAACCACACACAGTCGCCACTACACAACAACATAATAACACCACAGACCGTACCA